TGTGTGGGGTGTGGGTGTGCGCGCGCGCGTAGTGTGTGTGTGTGTGTGTGTGTGTTGTGTGTGTGCGTGCGTTAGTGCGTGCGTGTGAGTGTTTGTGCGGTGTGTGTGTTGTGTGTTGTGGGGGGGATATTTCGGTTGGTTTTGTGTTGTTGTTTAGTTTGTTTGTTTGTTTGTATTTGTGTGTGTGTGTTTTTTTGTTTTCTCGTTTTTTTGTTCGTTGTTGTTGATTTGGTTTTTGGGGGGAGTATTTTTATTTAGGGGGGGGGTGTTTGTTGGTTTTCGGGTCTTTTCGTTTTTTTATTAGGAGTACGATTGACTTGCTTTTGCATGCGTTTGTGACTGGTGGCAGCTTTGGGGCAAGGCACCCTCTCCTTTTCGAGAACACCCGGTATTATCACTAACTGATAGTGATTCACATGCTCATGACTGTATGTATTTGAACACATCCAAATACAACGACAGATGACAAATACAAATGAACAATAGGAGGCACATTTTATTATTCTGACAATATGATGAACATGTGGGGTTTTTTGTGTGTTTTTTTGGTTTTGTTTTTTATTCATGACATATAATATACATTGCTGGTTATGAAAAAAAACATATAAACAAAATTATAAGCGTACAATCGCAAATCGCACGAACATTGCGCGCGAGGTCGAATTTAACGGATCTTTTCACTTGTGTTGTCGAATATAGCCTGAACTAAACTCCCTTTTGTTTTTTAGTTCTAGGGAATCTTTGTTTACATTGGATACCCATACTTCCCCACATGGACAGTGTAGGAAGAGACAGCTTATTGGCGGTATATAACCAAATGTGTTCCATGATCATCTGTCCATTCCTCCCTGTGACGAGAATCAGTAACTGGTGATAGACTCAACAGACTTCAACGACAAAGCGTTAGATACCGTTCATTATCTTATTTGTGACTTTATTTTTACCACTAACATGAAGGTAGTTCATGATAAGTTACTGATATATGCTGATTAAGATGTAAAAATATGTTGTGTAAATTGGGCAAAATACATTGTGTAAATTGGGCAAATGTCAAAGGGATTACCAATCATTCTCATTTTATTTTTACTCCCTCTCTGCCTACTATCCCCCCTCTCTCTCTCTCTCCCTCCCTCTCTCTCTTTACTCCTCTCTGTCAAACTACCCCCTTCTCTCTCTCTCTCTCTTACTCTCTCTCGCACACTCACTCGCACACTCACTCAGTTCTACTCACTTATTAAAAATAAGACATGAGTAATTTGTGTATTTTATCTATGAATGCCAGGGGCCTCCAGTCGGACAGCATAAAACGTAGAGATATTTTTAATTTCGTACAAAATAGGAAATCATCTATAATATTTTTTCAAGAATCTCATAGTACTTTAGAAAATGAACAGACATGGGCAGCCGAATGGGGCTACAGATGTTACTTCTCACATGGAACCAGTAATAGTGCAGGGACATTAATACTGATTAAAAATAACTTTGAATATGAAGTGCATGAAATAATTTTGGACGAAAATGGAAGTTTTATCATACTGGATATGACAATAGAAAGTATTCGGTTCTCAATTACAAATATCTATGGACCAAATAAGGATAATCCTGAATTCTTTCAAGATCTTGCCAATGAATTAGAACAATTACCTGGAGGCGGTGACTGGAATGTAGTTCAGGATTATAATTTGGACACTTATAATTTAAAACATAGAAATAATCCTGAAGCATATATGAAAATTGTCGACATAAAAACAAAACTAGGCTTAGTTGACCCGTGGAGAATTTTCAATCCTGATAAACAGCAGTACACATGGCGTCAAATGAATGGAGTAAAACAGAGTAGGCTCGATTATTTCCTCGTCTCTGAAGAGCTTATGTCCCTAGTTAAACGTACTTCTATAGATGTAAGTTACAGATCAGATCATTCTATTATTTCCTTAGAACTTGCCCTTAGTCCAGTAGAACGTGGACCGGGTTACTGGAAGTTCAACCCATCTTTATTGCATGACAATGATAATGTAACACAAGTCAAGCAAACGATACGGGAAACAGTGGCCGAATATTGTTTTACCGGAAACATCGACAATTTAGAAGGTATTGAATTATCAGTAAACGATCAAGTGTTTTTCGAAATATTAAAAATGAAGATAAGAACTAAGACAACTGAATATTCAATTAAAATGAAAAAACAAACTGAAAAAGAAGAAAAGACGCTGGAACGTGAAATCTATGAAATGGAGGCTAGATCCCAAATATTAAGTAGTGATGATCATACAAAATTGTGTTTAAAAAAAGAAAGACTCGAAACTATTAGAACAGTAAAAATAAAAGGAATCATATTTAGGAGCAAGGCCAAATGGTATGAAGAGGGAGAGAAGAATACTGAATATTTTATGAACTTAGAAAAGAGAAACTATATAAATAAGAACATGAATGAAATAATAACAGAAAATGAAATTCTGACGGAAAAGGAAGACATATTGAGAGAATGTTCAGAATATTATTGCAATTTATACACAAGTAAAAACGCAAAAGATTGGCAAGATTACCTAGATGTATTTACGAAAAATTATGACCAGAAATTATCAAATGATCAACGCGAATTTTGTGAAAATACACTTACGCTAGATGAATGTACACGAGCCTTAAATAGTATGAAGAATCGAAAGAGTCCTGGATCGGATGGTTTCACAGCAGAGTTTTATCAATTTTTCTGGAAAGACATAGGTGTATAACTCTGGCGATCCATTACATATGCATACGAATCTGGAATGTTGTCAGACTTTCAACGACAAGGTATCATAACATGTTTGCCTAAAGACTCTCGTGATAGGCGATACTTAAAAAATTGGCGACCTATAAGTCTTCTCAATGTAGATTACAAAATTGCATCTGGGGCCATAGCTTCACGACTGAAAGAAGTCCTTCCTGAGATAATAAGTGAAACTCAAACAGGCTTCTTAAAAAATAGATTTCTAGGAGAAAATACTCGAATATTATATGACTTAATGAATTATTGTGAAGAATATAAACTACCTGGTCTTTTAGTTGCAATAGATTTTGAGAAGGCATTCGATACTATCGAATGGGACTTTATTGACAAGGTACTGGAAGTATTTAATTTTGGCCCGGTACTTAGAAATTGGATTAAACTCTTTCAGCGTAATAGCTGTAGTGCCTCAATTTTATCGGGTTCGTTGTCGAACTTCTTTTCCCTAGGACGCGGATGTCGTCAAGGAGACCCAGTAGCGCCATATCTCTTTGTAACATGTGTCGAACTATTGGCTATTGCAATTAAATCTAATAAGCATATCAATGGTATTACTATAAAATATATAGAATATCTCATCTTCCAATACGCAGACGATATGAATTTCACTTTAGATGGATCTGAACGAGGACTGTCAGAGCTAATTCATATTATTAAAACATTTGCAATAGTATCTGGTCTAAATTTAAACTGTGATAAAACTATAGCTGTCTGGATAGGGTCCAAACGAGACACAAATGAACAACTCTGCCCATATATACCTCTTCGCTGGTCCAAAGAACCATTTAAAATCCTGGGAATAATTTTATTTTTTCAACCAATTTAGAAGAAATGATTACATTAAATTTCGAACCGCAGTTTTCAAAAATTAGAAAAATATTATTCTCGTGGTCAAATAGATCATTAACTTTGATAGGTAGAATAACGATAATTAAAACTAAAATTATCCCCCTTTTTACACACTTGTTTATCGCCCTCCCTAATCCTTCTAAACTCTTTTTCAAACGTTTGAATACTATACTTTTTACGTTTATTTGGGGTGGGAAGCGTGATAAAAACCAAAGGAAAATGTTGATAAACGACTACTGTAAGGGTGGCTTAAAAATGATCGATGTTATATCATTCTGCAAGTACATGAAAATCAAATGGATAAGGAGATTACTGACATCAAAGGGGTTGTGGCAGCACCTAGCATTTGAGACATTATCACCTTTGGTGACATTAATCTATTCAACTTTCAAGTGGAAAAATACAATCCTACTCCAAAAATGTTAAAACTACTTTTGGAAAGATGTTGTTTCATGCTATGCATGTATCCATTCTAAAATTAGTGAAAGTGTTGAAGATTTTATGTGCTTGCCACTTCTTAATTTTGTACCTGTTACCGATATTGGGTTGTTCGTCTCATGGATAAAAAGGCATGAAATATATGAAAGACATTGTCTCGAACAACGGTGAGTTCAAGTCCTATGATACGCTTAAAGAAGAATTTAACCTTAAAGAAACATATCTCCTTTATTTAGGATTTTTTAAATATATACCCAAACACTGGATCAATGCCATCAGAGACACAAATCAAAAGATAGAATCAGTAAACACTCAGTGTAATACTCTCACACAAATACTCAAGTCAGCTAACTGTAAATTCATATATACTCAGCTATGTGAAAGTCAAGGAAGCTCTCTCTATAATCTTCAGCGGAAATGGGAAACCAAACTTAATATTACTCTAGCAGATGACTATCTTTGTGACTGTTTTGCACTGATAAATAAAATTACCATAGAAAATAAAGCCAGGAATTTTCAGTATAAACTGATTCATCGAATAGTTACAACTAAGTCATTTTTGTTTAAGATAGGTATCAGTGATGATAATGCCTGTACCCTCTGATGAACATGTGTTTACGCACCAATATCAAATAGTGATGATAGGGAAGTTAGAGTATTGCTCTAATGTATGGAATCCTGGAAGGGACATTGTGGCGTTTTGGTTTATTTTGTCTCACTTTACTTGTTTTGGAGAGGACGACAATGCGACATAGCGACAATGTCCCTTCTCGGATTCCATACTAATGCGCCGACGGAATTCAGTGTGAAACCAACTAACACCAATTAACAGATGTATTTTAAAATAAGTTTACAAATCAAAACGAATCCACGTTAGCACGAATCACCAATACATATGTGCTCACTATACATCACCAATACATCTGTGTTCACTATACATCACTAGTACATCTGTGTTCACTATACATCACCAGCACATCTGTGTTCACTATACATCACCATTACAGCTGTGTTCACTATACATCACCAGTACATCTGTGGTCACTATACATCACCAGTACATCTGTGGTCACTGTACATCACCAATACATCTGTGTTCACTATACATCACCAGTACATCTGTGTTCACTATACATCACCAGTACATCTGTGTTCACTATACATCACCAGTACACCTGTGGTCATTACATCTGTGTTCACTATACATCACCAGTACATCTGTGGTCACTATACATCACCAGTACATCTGAGGTTCACTATACATCACCAGTACATCTGTGGTCACTGTACATCACCAGTACATCTGTGTTCACTATACATCACAAATACATCTGTGTTCACTGTACATCACCAATACATCTGTGGTCACTATACATCACCAGTACATCTGTGTTCACTATACATCACCAGTACATCAGTGTTCACTATACATCACTAGTACATCTGTGTTCACTATACATCACCAGTACATCTGTGTTCACTATACATCACCAATACATCTGTGTTCACTATACATCACCAGTACATCTGTGTTCACTATACATCACCAGTACATCTGAGTTCACTATACATCAACACTATATTTGTGTTCACTGTACATCACCAATACATCTGTGTTCACTATACATCACTAGTACATCTGTGTTCACTATACATCACCAATACATCTGTGTTCACTATACATCACAAATACATCTGTGTTCACTATACATCACCAATACATCTGTGTTCACTATACATCACAAGTACATCTGTGTTCACTATACATCACCAATACATCTTTTTTCACTATACATCACCAGTACATATGTGTTCACTATACATCGCCAGTACATCTGTGTTCACTATACATCACCAGTACATCTGTGGTCACTATACATCACCAGTACATCTGTGGTCACTATACATCACCAGTACATCTGTGTTCACTATACATCACCAGTACATCTGTGTTCACTATACATCACCAATACAGCTATGTTCACTATACATCACCAATACATCTGTGTTCACTATACATCACCAGTACAGCTGTGTTCATATATACAGTCACCACTGTACATCACCAATACATGTGTGCTCAATATACATCACCAGTACATCTGTGTTCACTATACATCACCAGTACATCTGTGTTCACTGTACATCACCAATACATCTTTGCTCACTATACATCACCAGTACATTTATGCTCACTATACAACACTGCAACTGTTCGCTGCATATCATCCACACATCTGTGTTTACTGAGCAGATACAACATTAATCACTGGGGTATTTCAAGGTATGTACGGCGTCATGTCGTGTGTGTTACACTGATCACCAAGACAGAAACACAGGAAGTCATCACCCCCGACTTCCCGACACGATAGATCTGTAGAAGACGCACTGTCCCACAATGGATACTGCTCTGTGCATCCTCTGTGAACAGAGTTCTCTGGAACAAATAACATACTTCATATCGACAGCCATTACCCACGAGTGCAGTAAGTTGTAGTAGTATATGATTTGTGTATGAGCATATTTAATTACAACATATTCTATAAATCAACCATGTACAGTTTCTGTGGCAAACTTCATCACGAAAAGATGTATTAATAAACCTCTGACATTGTGACACATGCTCTGACACTCACCATCCGTATACCTGACAGCAGAGAAGCAGGCGGTCCCACATGGACACGACATGACTTCACCGCGGTCAGTACCAGCCATGGTGCCGTTTACTGGACATCGTACATTTCTGGAGGTACAGGAATGACACTGCCGGGATACACTACAGCCTACAAGGACAATGTAAATAACCAGGTAAGCAGGTGAGAAATAAAGTAAAAGTATGGAACTCCACGTCCATTTACAAACCACGTAGGCGCCAGACCAAGGAGAACCTTAAAGCTAAACAGTTCCCAAAATGAACGCTTACTTTCTTCAAATGGGGACATTTGTTCCTGAACGTGTAAAATTACATTTACAACTTGTGAGGTTGATGACAATTTATCAAAAATGAAAGTAATTTCATCAAAGGTTCATCTAAAAACATTTGAAATGCTGGACTTCCTCATTGATAAAATCTATGGTTTTTCATCGCGGGCACCAATGGTTTTTTTCTCGCTGGTGTGGTTCTTTACGCAAATGCACGAATAGGAATTTCTGCTCGGATCCTCTATGTCTATACAAGGTAATCTGGTATAGAAGCTGAACTTAAGTCTTGGGTATATTGACTTCATAGCGATTTGATACCATTCAATAATCGCCAAATAACACATTTCCCTCCCACTGATTTCCTCCTGAACTTGAAACAAAGGAGACAAACGAGACTCCCCCCACAAGGCTGTATGATAAGAGCGATGACTACAACTTTGAAAAAGTCAACTGTCCCTTTATGTCCAGCAGTATTCTACTAGTTCTAGCCTTTGGTGTCTTCATTTTACAACTTTTGGGGCAAAATCAATTATGTTCTTTCTACGAAGATTTCAAAAAGCGTTACAAAACTCTTGCTCAGAAGTGGTTTCATCAAGGTTACAAGATTCAAGGTGTAAGTAATGAGTTTATAAAATTGTTGAAAAAAGGCATAGGGGACAATTCCAAATTTGACGCATTTGTAATATATTTAGAATTGTACAATATATTCCCTTGTTTCTTCCGGTGAACAATTGACGTTCCTGTGCATGTGTTTGTGATGTGTACCACCACACTTGCAGTATACCCTCATCACTATTCGATATTTATTTATAAACAAATGCTTATGATATAATCATAAATGTACAATCGACTGCTCTAAGCAGAGATTCTTTCTTTGTGGACATGAAAAGTTCTTGTCGTTTTAAGGGGCGGCGGGGTGGCCTAGTGGTTAAAGCGTCCGCTCGTCACGCCGAAGACCCGGGTTCTATTCCCCGCATGGGCACAATGTGTGAAGCCCATTTCTGGTGTCCCCCGGCGTGATATTGCTGGAATATTGCTAAAATGCGGCGTAAAGCTCAACTCACTCACTGATGTTTCTATATTCCACACCTCACTATGGCTGTACATGTACCGCCACTCCCCAGTATATCCGTACTTCTATCGATACTTCCATACGTTCGTACGTCCATTCTACCTCCATTCTTTACAACTAATATGCTATTCTAAAAGCGGCGTAAAATACAACTTACTCCCTGACTTTCTGTGAGAGAGTCATTGTACTTTCCTGCTTAAAGTGATTTTGTGAAACTTGTTACGCCGAAGTAGGTATTTCCACTGAATTCACGTTTGAGCTCTCGCGAGATAGGACTTAATTCTAAGAGCACGTGAACTGGGTGTCACGCCGCTTTTCATAATATTCTAGCAATATCACGGCATTATTCTAGCAATATCACGGCAATATCCTAGCGATATCCCGGCAATATTCTAGCAATATCACGGCAACATCACGGCAATATTCTAGCAATATCACGGCATTATTCTAGCAATATCGCGGCAATATTCTAGCAATATCACGGCAACATCACAGCAATATTCTAGCAATATCACGGCATTATTCTAGCAATATCACGGCAATATTCTAGCGATATCAGGGCAATATTTTAAAAATATCACGGCAACATCACGGCAATATTCTAGCAACATCACGGTAATATTTTTGGCAATATCACGGCAACATCACGGCATTATTCTAGCAATATCACGGCAATATTCTAGCAATATCACGGCATTATTCTAGCAATATCACGGCAATATTCTAGCAATAGCACGGCAATATTCTAGCAATATCACGGCAACATCACGGCAATATTCTAGTGATCTCACGGCATTTTTCTAGCAATATCACGGCAATATTCTAGCAATATCACGGCAATATTCTAGCGATATCACGGAAATATTCTGGCAATATCACGGTAATATTCTAGCAATATCACGGCAATATTCTAGCAATATCACGGCAATATTCTTCCAATATCACGGCAATATTCTAGCAATATCACGGCAACATCACGGCAATATTCTAGCAATATCACGGCAATATTCTAGCAATATCACGGCAATATTCTAGCAATATCACGGCAACATCACGGTAATATTCTAGCAATATCGCAGCAATCTTCAAGCAATATCACAGCGATGAATTATTAAAGGAAAAAGCAAATGCTGTGAAATTATCAACATACTGTAGTTACCTGTAGTCGTGGGTGGAGTAGTCGTAGATGCAGCTGTAGATGGAGACGTTGAAGGACTTGTCGTCGAGCTTGTATTGGTACTTGGTGTATTGGCTGTAGTAGTTGGAGAGGTTGAAGAGGCGACAACGATGGTAGTCGTTGAAGGAGAAATAGAGGTGGTAGGTGTTGAAGGAGATAAAGAGGTGATAAAGGTAGGGGATGTTGAATTTAAGGTTGGGGTGGCTGCTATTGAAATGGAGGAAGGGGCTGTTGACGTTGAAGCGGAGGTAGAGGTGGTGGGTGTTGAACTTGAGAGAGAGACGATAGTCTTCGAAGCTGTGGGAGGAGTCGTAGGTGGTGCAGTGGAGACTGTCGTTGATGTTGTCTTCGTTGATGATGGTGGTGGGTTAGCCCCCGTTTGTTCTTCAGAATGAAAAACAAAAAAACGTGAAACCGTTTGTCTTAGGCTACTTGTTGCCGTTAGATGGACACGCATATCAGTACTGATCCGTACCTTCGTTAAGTTATCAAAGGAACACATTTTCTATCAAACTGGAAACTTGAGATCAATAACAGTTTAAACTGTTTGTTGATTTTAACATAATCTGGATTTAAATACAGCAAAGATATCCAAAGTCACAAGATTCAGTTGCACCCGAAACTGATGAGCCATTAAAGGTCATATACATGTACTTCAAGACACAGTTTGCCTCATTTTGTTCATATACTTAAATGTGACTGCCTAGAATTACTTATATCCTCACTTCCAAGTCAGTATGTACTGGTATTTAGTATAATCTAAACACAAGCCATGCGTGTTTCATCATTTCACGTATTTTCCATTAACAAAACGGCAGAAAATGCGAAGTATATATACTGAGAGAAACACATAAAGGACCAAAGGAAAATTCAAGCGTGTCTTTATTATTTTCCAGTTTTCATCACCACAGTGCCATTCGAAGCTGGTGATGAAAACTGGAAAATATTAAAGAACCACTAAACTTTGTTTTTTGTTACTCTTTTAACCATTACATATCAAAGATTTGTGGTTAGTCTTATGCGGAACACCAAATTTATTCTTTAAAAACTTGTGGTTAATTAATACCGAGCGATTAAAAGTGGCCAAAAAGTCGCCTGCTTCCCTCTCGCCCGCCAACGAAACCACAGACAGGTTACGTAACTCTGTCGCCAGAGCACTGCAGTGACGTCATATGAGGAACGATTTTCAGTTAGTTGTATAGAAAATGTGTAGCACGCTCATCATTTTGATGATTTCTCGACATCAACGACGACATGCCGAATCGTTGCTTTGTCGTCAATTGCTCCTAGGGGTCGGGCGATGGTGTCCCCATGCACAGATTTCCACAGGACCTCGCAGTTCGTGCTAAATGGGTTATGTTTGTGAGTGCGAAGCGAGCGTTGTGGAAGCCTGAAACGATATCTTACTTGTGTTCAGATCGCTTCACGGAAGTTAAAGAATCAAAACTAGTTACTAGTTGTAGTAAAATATGCATATGATTGATGACCATAAAGATTTTCTATGACACAACTTGTAACATAACGATTTCTTCCTCGGAAGTGAGGTTGTGGTCGAAGTAACAATAATATTGTGGGTAGTATTATTTGATTGACCCACCTCGCTGCCACGAGAAAATTGTTATGATATACGTTATGTCATGCAAAATCCTATTGGCCATCAATAAAATACATATTTACTACGACAGTAGAAAAGTAGTTTTGATTTTAGACCGGTGAAAACAAACCTAAATACCATTTATCCCTCAGACTGGCGGATGTTCCTGACAGGGCGCCGCCATTTTTAAAAATATAAAAATCTGTTAGAATTAATGAGATTATAGTTTGTTTTCACTGTTAGAAAATCAAGACTACTTTCTACTCGTTGTTAAATATGTATTGGAATCATAACCAAACGGATTTTGTATGACACAACTTATAACATAACGATTTCTTCCACGGAAGCGAGGTGGGGTCGAAGTCACAATACTGCGCGATAAATTTCTTGCTACAAACCCATAGTTAATGTCCACTCACCAGTATGTAGATACTAGTCAATGTGCGTCTTTATATTTGGTCTTATAATCCTAATTAGTTTATTACCACACTTGTATGCATTTTGAAACTAAATAAAAAGCAGACGATCTGCTGATACTTATAGTGAATTTATAACAGAACTGTAATATCTAGACATTGTATAGTTTGCCAATGTGAATCATAATTCGCACAATAATTCTAGTGCATGTTGTTGTCTGTCTCATTACACTTCACGGCGAAAACAATGATTCTGTTGAATGCTACGATAAATGAATAAAACAAATGCAAATATTAAAATTAAAACAGATTAAAGTTATGGGAACAATATCAGGCCATTACCTTGTTCGAGGAATGTATCCATCAATATCCACAAAACTGTTCCAAATGATGTGACTTTTAACAGTTTAATATACGAAAAAGTGATAAATCTTTTCAGGTATTGGTGTATAGTCTCATTGGTCACCCAAGATAGCACACCTGGCAACTAATTGCATAATGTCCGCCTTTCTTTAAAACAGTAATTTAGTTAGCCAATAATAGGCAATCAATCAATGTATTGCCGGTTAATCCTTTGAAAGAAGGACGTTGTTTTTACGCAGACACCGACACGACAGAGTGTATTCAGTATAGATTAGTAAATCGACATACATAAACACTACCTTTTGACAATTCCGCTGTGTAAGATAAAAGTAATTAATCAATCAGCGTGTTATCGGTTAATCCTTTGATACATGTTTATAATGTTGAATATTTACTCCAGACACAAGAAATGCCAAATGGGAACCTTTGTCGGGTAATCTAAGTGTGTTACCACTAATTATACCTGTTATAAATTCATTAACTGACCATCAAGTGAATGATGACAAATAACATGTGTAGGTTTATACCACCTAACACGGGTTACAACGAGGGAGTATTAATTGCTGTATTGCATGTGAAAACTTATGGGCCGACACTGTTTTGAGAATACAAACAGATTTTTACATGACATGATTAAATATCGAGGTAAAACAACACAGAAATGGGATCAATTTGGATCAGTCATTATACAAATAGGGCCTAACGACACCAATCGATTTTGGCAGAATCGTCTATGAAAACAAGTTGTAACTCGGAAACTAGGCAAAGCAGGAGACAAAATTAAATGACAGTAGATTGTGAGAACATATAACTTTCATTTTCCACAACAATTGTCACGATTTCAGGTTTATACAAGCCTGTAAACACGTTAATTTACCCCCTAAAATGTAGATGAATTCTGCATCTGCTCTCAAAGCTATTCCTCATATGACGTCACAGAGTCGCGCCGCTCTGATTGGTTGAAATTTCGTTCGCGGGTGAGAATTGTGCACTGTTGTCAAAAAGGTCGATTTAAGTCAATTAAAGGTCGAAATGAGTAGTTTTAATGACGGGGTTTCATTTATAACGATGCCAGTTAGTGATTTATGTATTTGTACCCCCTAGGGTTTATGTGACCTTTAAAGGAACGCTTGAATTTTCCTGTGATCCTTTACTTGTTTCTCTCAGTATATAACTACTGTCTGTTTTGCTTCATACAAACATAATCAACCTGGTCAGTCCTGACACAGATTGGTTTGTGTGCATTGGTTTGTTTGTTTGTTTGAGGGCCGTTTTGGGGTTGTTGTTTTTGTTTGTTTGTTTAACTTTGCACTCTGCAGTTTTCAAACTATATAGCGGTCTGTAAATAATCGAGTCTGGATCAGAAGATCAGGTGACTGACATCATGAGCATCGATCTACACAACTGGGATACGATAACATGGGTCAACCAAGTCAGCGAACCTGACCACCCGATCGCCTCTTCCAACAATAATGGGTTGTGAATTTCACATATGTGAAAACATTTTCTTTAAAAACTAAGACAATCAAAGTATGCTGTTTGAAACATCAAAACACGGAACTGAATGTCCATTGACCTACCTGATTTGCCGGTGACCAGAAGCGTGGTGGTGGCAGTCAAGGCGGACACTAGTACCAGGATGAATACGACTATGCCAGTTATCATCACCCGCTTGCGGGAACACCAGCCTGGAGTGACGCCAGAAGGGGGCGGTTGATTCTGTACATACAATAAACAAACATACAGTACATTGAGTGAGTAAGGTTTTACGCCGCATAAAGCAATATTCCAGTAATCTCACGGCGACCTTGAAAATTGTCGCTATGTCGCCTTGTCGCCTTTTTGATGAATAGAAAAATATTATTCAAAGCACGACAATGCAACACATGGCTAAAATTTCGCGTTGTCGCATTGTCGCATTTGGGTTAAATTTGCCACTTGTTGCGTGTGTTTGTGAAGGCGACAATGCGACCCCGAGACAATGTCCCTTCTTGGATTCCATAGAATGTGGTGATGAAAATCAGCCATAATACCATGCGCTCGCCCAAACACAATTATTTCCTGTTTCTAAGATGAAACAGTAAAACAGACCTGGGTCAAGATCCAGTAAACGTTCGCTACGACATTCGTAAACCTATGAGTGAGTGAGTTTAGTTTCTATTTCAGCAATATCACGGCGGGGACCCCAGAAATGAGCTTCACACATTGTGGGGAGTCGAAGCAAAGTGACAAGCTCGTAAACCTATGATAAACTATAGTTTCGACACACGAACCTTACGAACGCTTTGAGGATCGGGACCCTGCATTTTTAACACTATATCATTTGGAATATCAACCACGTACTAATTTGCATTACATGTTGTTTCCATCATCCAGGTGCAAGAGTTGATGATGATGAAGATAATGATGATTTAATACAAAGTACGCATGACAATGATTTCAAATGCTTTAAAGAACTGAAGTCTAAATGCAAATACCACATTTGACACATGTAGGCATTGACGCAATGAATCGACTAATTAGTGTTTGCAATATATGACGGTTTCATTTTCAAACGCATGCGCACAGGTGAGCAATAGTGACGGAACTTATATTTTAAGAAGTGGATATTTCTTTCCGTTTGGCATAGTTGATGGAAATGAGATCGTTATAAGAAATATGTTTTTAAAAGTTTCATAATGTGTTTTGCAAAAACTAAAAGTTTGAAAGTAACATGTAAATAACAGAAACACTAAACTGCACCTCAAAGCATAAATTGGAATGTTCACTTTCATGAATGATTTAACGCACGAGACACGTGCATCATATATCATTGGAAATGCATTTTAAAAGACCCAATAGAAGGTAAAAAGCAAGTTTGCCAAAGAAAATTAGAAATATTTTTTTCGTTTCGTTTCATTTTCATTTTATTATGCCACTGTCTGGTCACGCGCTGACATTGAGCTATTCGGATGAGGGAGAAAAAATATATACTACAAACAGCATTGCCGTAACAATACACCATAACATGAGTGGGCGAGTATGGTTTTACTCCGCTTTTAGCAATATTCCAGGAATATCACGGCGGGGAACAGAAGAAATTGTACCCTTGAGGGGAATCGAACCCGGGACTTCAGCGTGACGAGCGAACGATTTAACCACTAGGCTACTCAATAACAATGGCGCAGAAGAGGATAAGAGGCTTGGAACAGGGTGGTACTTCTGGATGAAGTCTATCAAACATAAGGCACTGTTTCCCCGCTGCTATAGGCCACACGAGAACTGAAAGTTTATTCTTGCCTCAGCTGGGAGCCAGTAAAAGGACTTAGAAAGGAGCAATATGATGCTTCGTTGAATCAACGTACAGTACATTGTTTGCAGCCCCACAATATATAATCATTATCAGTATGTCAGCTTGCTCGTTAACTTTGTGGTCGGTCGTAGGATAATAGCATTAAATAATTAAACTATCAATTGCAACTGAGCGCATCAGTGAACCACATAAGGTAAGGATATTACCGTCCGGCGATGTGCTTATCTAATACTTGCATTGTACCCGCGCAACACGGGTCTACACGTTGTCTGGAGCATCGAAACTACAATATGTAAAGCATCATGGAAATAGTGGTTTTGATTTACATACATCAACAAACCGCAAACAAGCTGAGTTTGTATTTGCACTTGAAGCCTCGTCACACCAAGAGACGTTATAAGACGTACTCGTTGTTACACTGTCTTGTAACCTGGGTACCTGATACGAACCTGGGTCAAACAATTACTTGTCAGCTTGGAGTCAGTTTACAGTGCCTGAATGACGGTTCTCAGAGGGTTGGCACTCTAACCCCGTCATTAGTCTGGCTGAAGGGGTCGTCGGTATGGGTACTACAGATGTGCACCATATGCAGGTACCCTAGCCTAAATCAGAATACAGAAATGTGCCCCAGCCAAAATCAGAATACAGAAACGTACCCTAGCCAGATTCAGAATACAGAACCGTACCCTAGCCAAAATCAGAATACAGAACCGTACCCTAGCCAAAATCAGAATACAGAAACGTACCCTAGCCAAAATCAGAATACAGAAACGTACCCTAGCCAGATTCAGAATACAGAACCGTACCCTAGCCAAAATCAGAATACAGAACCGTACCCTAGCCAAAATCAGAATACAGAAACGTACCCTAGCCAAAATCATAACACAGAAACGTACCCTAGCCAAAATCATAACACAGAAACGTGCCCTAGCCAAAATCATAACACAGAAACGTGCCCTAGCCAAAATCATAACACAGAAACGTGCCCTAGCCAAAATCATAACACAGAAACGTGCCCTAGCCAAAATCATAACACAGAAACGTACCCTAGCCAAAATCAGAAAACAGAAACTTACCCTAACCAGATTCAGAATTCAGAAACGTAACCTAGCCAGAATCAGAATATAGAAACGTACCCTAGACAAAATCAGAATTCAGAAACGTACCCTTGACAAAATCAGCATGCAGAAACGTGCCCTTGACAAAATCAGAATGCAGAAACGTGCCCTATGACGAGTCCATTCCGCACTGTGCGTTTTTCTTGATCGGAACTGTCATACTGTTGTATCAATTGCATTTGATTGCGTTATATAAGAAACGAGCATACTCGATTGCGAATATTTTGCCATGCAGTCAATCAGTTGAACGGGAACAACTACATACGGTTTCGGGTAGCGGAATATGGGCTCGTAGGGTACCGGGTAGATTTCTGTAATCTGTTTGATTAACATTTTAGAAGTTGATAGATAATAGAAAAGTATAATACTTATGGATAACAACTTCTTTATTTGTTGTGATGCGACGTTTCGGTTTAGCTTCTTATACCATTGTCACTCTTGCTTGACAACGGTATAAGAAGCTATACCGAAACGTCGCATCATAACAAATAAAGAAGTTGTTATCGATAAAGTATTATACTTTTCTGTAGTTTGATTAGGGTACATTCCTGTATTCAGAAATGTACTGGAGTACATATCTGTAGCACCTGTATCTGAAGTACAACGACCCCTTCAGCATACGTCTGGAATAGAACAGGTACACAGACTCAAGCACAAGCACAAGCACAAACACAAGCACAAACACAAGCACGCCGGTGAACACGCACACGAACGCGCGGCTAAGCCTCGGTTTCGAACATTCCGATTGATGGTCACAATTAAGTCACGTCCATCAATCCACACAATTGTTGTGCCTAATAAAACAAAATTTAATCCCAGAAGTCGACTGCTCCATGTTCCTAGTTTCCACTTGGAAAAGAGAGTTACAGACTTGCCTAAACTAACAACGCCAGGTAGATTTAATCATGTAATAAATAGTCATCTAATCAGAACCAGTTTGGAAAATCTGGTCAATGTTAGGAATCATTGAACCATTCTAACAGCACGTTGTAGATTGTGAAAGTATATGCCATAGGAGTGTTCTAGTCTGTCATGCAGACCCTGAAACAAATATACCCAATGCATCCCATGCAAGTCTAGATTACTGCAGTTTGACTGACTGACTGAGTTTGGTTTTACGCCGCTTTTAGCAATATTCCAGCAACATCACGGCGGGGGACACCAGAAATGGGCTTCACATATTGTGCCCATGTGGGCATTCGAACCCGGGTCTTCGGCGTGACGAGCCAACGCTTTAACCACTAGGCTACCCCACCGCCCCTACTGCAGTTGAGGAAAATGAAGAAAGTACCTAAGCTCATTTTCCTTAAAAGTTTATGATGATATTTATTTATGAATAGTTTTTTCTGTAAAATATGAAATACACAATGCCATTTTAGAAAGTGGTCAAATGTAACATATGTTATATTTGGCATTACACTTTCTCAGTAAAGTACAGATTCTAGTACTTTTAGGGGGGTTGAGTCCCATCCGGCATTTTGTGGAAGCCGCGGTGGCTGAGCGGTCTAGGCGTCTGACTTTGTGTGCTGGCGATTAGGTGCCTGACTCTGAGGGTGTGGGTTCGAATCCCGGATGGGACTCAATCCAAAAGAAGTACTAGAATCTGTACTTTACTGAGAAAGAGTAATCCCTAATATAACCTATGTTTCTGTAAAATATGTTCAATTCAGAGACTAAATGTTATTCAACAGTGTTCCTACCGTAGGGAATATCTGACTCCAGGCGGCATAGGGTGCCACAGACTGATTGCTGGCCATGTCGCCTTCAGATTCTGTAGATGGGGAGACGGTGTATCCCCTGTTATCCTCACCGCTGTACGATGTACCGTTTGGAACCACCGAACTGAGATCTTTGGTCCTGGGTAGCGTCCCAACTGAACCAATCGTATCATAGGGATCCTCGGTCCTTTCATCACCGCCATTGTTCGGACTGACCACATCTGGCAAAGCACGGTCAGTGGGATTTAACTGAACCGCGTGGCAATAAGTTTCGGAATCACGACCGGAGCCGCAATCAGCTCGCTCTCTGATTGAAGATGTACGCAGTTCAACTGCCCCTTCGAATGACTCGGGTCTCATGGTGTTGTCACAGAACGTACACGGCAATGCTTGTGATTTTCACATTTCCAGAATGTACCATGAGTCTCTGATAGTTCCACTTACACAAACACAACCCTGTGACATGGAGTGTCTATTTCCATATGTAGACACTTGTAATGACTTCCTGGTCCATAGATAACAACCGGCAAAACATACACCCTGTTAAGTGTTGTCAGCAATGGCTGTTGTCATTCAACACTTAATTCCGGCTGTAATTCAATTGTTCATCGACCCATGGACAAACACAGTATCACAACAAAGGAAAACGTATAACAGCATTGCGGGGTATGTTACCGCACCCTGAACATCAAGCAATGTTTATGTTTCAAATGACTCCAACGAGCTGTGAAAAAAGCACACAATGCCTTCGAAAGTTAGACAACGTGGACACAGAACAAAATACTTCATTCGAACTCGGCTTTGGATTTCGAGTGTGAGACACACCCTCCCTTCCCCCGTTCTTGAAATCGTGCGGGAATTTCCAGACCCACTTTTGAACAAGGACGTAACTTGAAGGCAATTGTAATCATATATCGTGTTACTTAATTTGGTATTCAGACAAGGCTTTGCCTGTTCACGGGGTCGTGAACTGTCTTCTTAGATATCACTGCCTTCTCACAGATCAACATGAGCGACTAAGATGGTTGAGAGACTCCATTTCACTCTGATGTATTCAGGATGTTTATGGGCGAATAAGAAATTGTATAGGAAATTGTGTAGTGTACTCAGGCGTGCATGTTGTAAAAGTGCTCTTTGAAAACGACCTGATAGATTTATTACCGTATGGCGTAAGAGACGAAAAACCTTTTCAAGGGTGCGGAGTCGATCTACTCACTGTCTTCGGGTGATATGTTAAATATTTATTGAGTGAGTTTAGCTTTACGCCGCACTTGGCAATATTCCAGCTATATGGCGTCGCTCTGTAAATAATCGAGTCTGGACCAGACAATCCAGTGATCAACAGCATGATCATCGATCTACGCAATTGGGATACGATGACATGTGTCAATCAAGTCAGCGAGCCTGACCACCCGATCCGGTTAGTCGCCTCTTACGACGAGCATGGGTTACTGAAGATCAATTCTAACTCGGATCCTCACGGGTCAAATATTTATTGACTTGGACAACAGTTCGAATGCTGCCAGTCCCTCAGAATTAATCCAGGTCCTTCCTGAATAAGGGTAAAAACTAGAAACATTAGCAGAAATTTGATGTCATGCGCTTCATAATGGCTATCCCAGCGCTGGAATATGGTAAGTCAGTATGGTTTTACGCCGCATTTAGCAATATTCCAGTAATATCAGGACGGGGGACATAAGGAATGGGCTCCACACATTGTACCCCATGTGGGGAATCGAAACCAGGTTTTTGGCGTGATGGGAGAGCGCTTTAACCACTAGGCTTCTTCAGAGGAGTAAGCATGTGAGTGTAAGTACAATAAAAGTGATAAGAGTACAGGTATATGGACTATTGTATTGGGAACATTGAGGACCGCCCTTACTTGAATATGACACGGCGTTGTGCAGTGTTGTGAACTCTCTCCATAAGTTGGTTAGTTGGTTGTTTCACGCCGCACTCAGCAATATTCCAGCTATATGGCGGCGCTCTGTAAATAATCTAGTCTGGACCAGACAATCCAGTGATCAACAGCATGAGCATCGATCTGCGCAGTTAGGAACCGATGACATGTGTCAACCAAGTCAGCGAGCCTGACCACCCGATCCCGTTAGTTGCCTCTTACGACAAGCATTGGTTACTGAAGACCAATATTCTAAAACGGACCTTCACGGGTCCTTTACGCAAATGAATAGGATTTTCTATACTAGGCACATAAAGAAGCTGTGCATACAAAAAAATTAAAATCTAAATTTATCAAACCTGTGTGGACACATAAGGATTCAAACTCAGAGATTAGTGACATGTATCCAACATGCATGCACGTGCCACGTTCCGTGACGTCAGTGGGTTCGTCCTTGAGACGTGCAATACGTTGTTGCACGTGCTTTCCGGGAAAGAGAAACAGAGCAAATGAATGCCACACAATACTGTCACTTTGGAAAGCTCAACCCCTGCCCTTCCGATCGTTAAAAAAATTAAACGGCTATTGAAACGCATAGCATGCCAAGGCTCACGTCTGCACAACGTCATGAGGCCATTGGGGTGGTCCGTGGGGGAATGTCTCAACGACAAGTGGCTGCACATTTCCACTGCCACCGGAACACCATTTCTGCACTGGTGAGACGCTACCAGAACACAAATGACGTCATCGATCGGCCACGTTCTGGACATCCAAGTGTAACAACGCCAAAACAGGACATATGGATAAGGGTGACCCATCTTCGCCACAGGTTTCAGACTGCAGTGATGACTGCCCGAACCATCCCAGGACTTCGCCGTATCCACCCCAACACAGTTCGACAACGTTTACGTCATCACGGGATCAGACCACGACGTCCCGCCATACGGCATATCCTGACACAACGTCATCGACAAGCTCGCCGAATGTGGTGCCGAAATCATGTCCGCAGACCCTTGTTTTGGTGGAGAAATGTTGTTTTACAGATGAGTCCAGGTTTAACATTTCCCATAGTGATGGACGTCAACGTGCCTATAGACGCGTGGGAGAACGTTATGCACAGGCCTGTGTCTTGGAGAGGAATCGCTTTGGTGTTGGTTCCGTGATGATTTGGGGTGGAATAACAGCACGCCAAAGAACTCCTTTGGTGATTGTTCAGGGCAACTTAACTGGTGTGGGCTACAGTGATCAGATTCTTCGACCTGTAGCAATTCCTTTTCTGCAACGTCATGGTCCTGGGTTAACATTCCAACAGGACAATGCCCGCCCTCATACGGCAAGGGTTGCTATGGATTTCTTGCAACACCACAACGTTGACTTACTGCCTTGCCTGCAAATTCACCGGATCTCTCCCCGATAGAGCATGTTTGGGACGAGATGGATCGACGTCTACGCCGTCTTCCTCATCCGCCAGATAACGTCCTTGACCTTGCAACAGAACTTGAGAGAATCTGGCGTGACATCCCACAAGCCTTCCTTGCACGTTTGATAGGCTCTATGCTTCGTCGATGCACTGCTGTTCTCAATGCCGATGGTGGACATACCCGTTATTGAGCTTGTGACATGGTCGTTTGACCCCTGTCCCGCTTGTGGACTCGTGACGTCATTGTGATTGACTTTTCAATTGAAATTCTCCCGACTTGTTATGGTCTCATGATCCCTCCATTAAAGTTTATATGTACCTTTGACATTGTCATCGTACTTATCAACTGGGATAATATTTTGACAATGCACAGTTTCTTTATGTGGCTAGTATATATGGCGGCGGTCTGTAAATAATCGAGTCTAGGCCAGACAATCCAGTGATCAACAGCATGAGCATCAATCTACGCAACTGGGATATTAGGACGTGTGTCATCCAAGTCAGCGAGCCTGACCACCTGATCCCGTTAGTCCGCTCCTTAAGTGTTAAAACTGGTCGCCTTATTCAAGGTAATACGATGTCGCGCTTGTGTGGATTACAATACAACCAAACAGGATTCCGCCTTGGTATTTATACTGCTCAACATTTGCTAAGGATATGTATGTATACTGCTCAACATTAGCTAAGGAAAGCTCGTTTAACTAGAGATGACTACTTTTGTCCATGTATTTTGTTGTGTCGTTCTCATGCCTGAAATTACCTTAAATGCATGCACTTTATTCGCTATCCAAAACTAGCCCTGCCACGTTAAAAATGCTCTTTCAGATGAGTGAGCTGGGTTTTTTATAGCTACTGATGTTTCCACCGTGCCCGTTCCTATGCTTACCATCTCACCATCTATTGTTTTCTTTTTATTTGTTTGTTTGTTTATTTATTTATCTATTTAACCTCTCGTAACACCAATAAAACATTCATTTAAACTAGTGTGCATACGTATGAAAGTAACTAAGGACGGATACGGCCACTGTGCGAGAGGAACAGACCAGAGTTATCCTGTTTGGGAGCATTATCATCTGTGGAGCATCACGAGTACCACGAGTACCACGAGTGTAATGTTGATATACCCAGAACATAATCACGGCAAATCTGGGATTCGAACACAGGAACATATATAGGCTTCGAGAGGCACGCTTAAGTGAGGTAAAGCGATTTTAGCTATATTCCAACAACATCACAGCGGGGGACACCAGAAATGGGTTTCACATTGTGTACCCATGTGGGGAATTTTGAATTCGGGTGTTCGGCCTGACGAGAGGCCGCTGTAAGGTTATCCCATCGCCTCTAACAGATCAGGAAGTTTATTAGTCTGAAAGAATGCCAACGCCACAGCCATCCTTATGCAACCTGTCTTCAATTGTCTCCCTAATATAAACACGGATGTCCTGCTCTCCTGGCAGAAGCTGATTCACTACACATCAGCGCTGGTGTAACATACCCTGAACACTAGGTAATGCGGTTTTGTCACGGGTGAATAACGCTTTTCGGGTCCTGTTTCACTTTGTTATCACTGCTTTGCGACTACCGTAAGTATGTGTTAAACTGTGAGAGTTACGACAGTTGTAGCATTGACATCGCTGTATGAAACGTCCCGTGAAGATCCGGGTTAGAACAGGGCCCCGTTCCTCAAAGCGATCGTAGCGCTACGACAGTCGTAAGTCTATGTTAAAGTATGGGAGTTACGATCACCTTAGCGCTACGATGGCTTTGAAGAACGGGGCCCTGGTTTTCATCAACCCATGCTTTTCGTAAGGCTTGGTTGGCACATGTCATCGTATCCCAATTGCGTAGATCGATGCTCATGCTGTTGATCACTGGATTGTGTGGTCCAGACTCGATTATTAACAGACCGCCACCATATAGCTGGAATATTGCCGAGTGCGGCGTTAAACGCAAAACAAGCAAACAAAAGCTTTCTGAAACGGGACCCAGGTCTCTACATCAGCCTTTAGACCAACCGGGAGTTGAGAATGATAAATAGAAAGCATGCAGGTCCAC